TAGTCACCCAAGGACTGCCAAGAGACTATCATTTTGTAAAATGCCCAACACTTAATCACTTCCTTTGTCATGGTGATTAAACAAGGCTGTTTGGAATAGAATGCAAGTGTATTGCTTGAAGCAGACTGCACAGTACACTGTATAACGCCCACTATTTTGTAAAGCTCGTAAGCCACGCCAAACATTGCATACAGTAGTATACTACAATGATGTGACATGACTTCACTGTAAAATAAAAATTACTTTTCATGCAGTGCAATAATAAACCATGGTTCCCTTGATCAAAAAAACGTAAAAAAACTAGGGAGGCACCGATATCAACATTTTGGCCGATACCGATAACCAATAATTCTTTATATTTGAAAGCCGATAACTGATATATCAGGCGATAAATCTAAATCCAATTTTTTTATCCTTTTTGAGAGCCTGATTGCAAAATCAAAAGTCTCACAATTAAAATCCATTTCCCGATCACACAATTATAATGTTCTCATTATAACTTCATGTAGCCGATATGACAGCACATTTTGCACTTAGCTATATTTTCCTTTTTGATTACAATCATATTTCAAGCAATTAAGATCAATCATGTTGAACAGTGCGCATCTTAAGTGTCTCAAGTGTCAAGTGTTGAAGGAAATAATTCATTATTTATCAGCTTTAATGTATCTGCCAAATTTTATTATCGGGCCGATAACGATAACGTAAAAATGAACAAATATCGCCCGATACCGATATGGTGGCCGATATATCGTGCATCACTAAAAAAAACATTCGATTTTTCCATTGGCTTTTGGATTATTCTAAAAAATATGCTTTGTAACACGTTTTGTTCATCATGACACTTCACAATGAGTGAATTTTGAAGCCTAAATAAATGGGTATGAATAAATTATACCACGGCCGCATGACATCACCAATATTAAGCTTTCAACAACTATTTCAGTGAGTATATTATAAAAACATTTCCCCTGAAAGTCTGAGTTTGGTCTGAGACTTTGCAAGTCTTTTTCAAGTAAAAGCTCAAGACTGTGTGATGATATTAGTGTGTACATATTTGTACATGCAACAAAAATAGTAGCATGGAAGAACAGCATTTAAAACACCTCACTATCAATCAGTTTACATCTGTGAATGATTCAGTTTGAATCTTTGAATCTCTAAGATGCAATTTTTACACATCTCCTCAAGACGTAGTTACAAAAAAGCACTTAAACCATTGTCGGTCAGTGTGTTTACAACATTATTACCTGATTTTCTTCAACTACAGAACATTTAGAAGTCCTCGAAAAATAGCAACCTAGAGACGCTACTGTGATCTGAGGAACTGGCGACTCTCGTACTGCAACAGAGTGCATGCGCGACAGACAGGGTTTTACCCTCCTGCTCCTATTCTTTCAATATAAAGGAAGACAGGATCGCTAATGAGCCGGTAACAGGTAGACGTGTGGCCACAGAGGTGAAGGAGTGAGAGAGATCTCTTTGTGAGTGAAAAAGCTTCCTTCTCCCTTCATCTTGCGATTATGTGTCAACATCAAACATGGCGACTAGCGCTCCACACCTGCCTGTCAGTGCAGTTCTTTGGAGCTAAGATTAAAGGGAGTTTTTGCTCACCAGAGGTTACAAAAACAGCAAAATGAAATGCACTGTAGGACCCAGAACACATCATATCTTTAATTCCTTCAGTTCTTTGTTCAGACAAACGGATGGATACGTCCTCCGAGCAAAGAGAGCGAACCTGCATTAGGAATCCAAACACATTTTCGAAAGAATCATTTTTATCTCTTGAAACAACCCTTCAAGCTGTGAGATTTGGAATTTACCATACGCACAGCCATGATGCCAAATCCACCAACCCAATGCAGATATGCTATTCATTTGCTGTCTTCTTGGACTCAACTGATCAAAGCCATTCCAACTTCCACCATGTTGAAAAAATAAAGATTAAATCACAGCTTTAAGAATGGAGACATCACTGAGCCTATATACCAGGAAAAATCCCATTCAGTTAGGGAAAAAGAAATTCATATATCCAACCGCATCACCATTTAAAGTAGATATGAAATAGAAATAAATCACCTTATATCTATTATTCAAATAATTGTAATTGATCTTATTGAACAAGTCTTCCGTTGTTTCAGGCCTTCTTTCATCTCACAAAATCACAATTTCAAAATTGACCATTTATCTGTTGGTATATATGTCCATTACATTGCGAAAATGTTTGCCACATTGCCAAAGCATCTTTGTCAGACTGTTAATTACAAGAGACCATGATTTCGGCCAGTGCAGTTATAATGATGCAGTTACAGTGCAGTTATAATATAATAAAGTCAACTGAAGAAAGCATTCTGGTGGGTTTAGAACTAGAAATAGATATGCATTCGTATTAATACTAAAAAAAGTATTTTTTGAGTTGAAAAGTAGTCTAAATGAAGTTTTTAACATCAGCAGATGAACTTGTATTTCAATGTATACAGTTTTTTTTTTGTTTCCTTGCACAATTTAAATTTGATTTCAATGTAAAATTTGCAGACAAAGTTAGCCTATATAATGTTCTTAAAGAGAAACCTGAAGATCACTCAAAAATGAAACTTCAGTCATCATTTATTAACCCTCACATTCCAAACATGTATGACTTTCTGTCTTCCCACAAAAGATGATATTTTGAAGATTATTAAGAGCCAAACTACATGATATAATTTCTCAAAATGACATGAGGGTTTTTATTTTTTTGGGTGGACTATGCCTTGTGGTTAGTAGTATATTTTAACATTTCTCCTGAGGTCTTGCCCCATAGACTTCCATTGTGTATGCATACGTTTCCACAATTTTTCCAAACTGGGGAACGAGCCAAAATTATTTTCTGATAAAGCTTAACCTTTGAAACCAGAACATTCCTTAAATGCTTTCTCAAGCTGATCAAGTGCAAGCCTATTTAAGACCTTGAACTGACTTTAATTCCTTGGTCCAAATCTATCTAGCCTGGGTTTCCCCATGCTGGGAACCAATCACAGAACGGAGAGGGAGCAGCAAGACGATGACGACGTATATGCGACACACCGAAGCAGTTTGTTTATATCTATGGATCCATCTTGGCAGTGGACGCGAAGTTACCTTTTGATACAGCCTTTGTGTACACACAAATCTCCTAAATCTCTGACCCATCGTCTTCTTCCTCGTCTAATTTTCTGTCACTCTACATATGGCATCTGGTACCATTGAACCGATTGGCTATGAGCTATGTACAGGCGCATTTGATAGACATTCGTTGCACCCAATAATACGTCTCTGGGCATTTGTAAACCACAACTCAAATACGAGAAAATGAACATGTGGTTTCCAGACCACGTCTCATTCTCAATTATTCGTGGTCTGGCATTAGCCAGGCTAAATCTATAGATCATAAATCATTACACAAACATTAAGCCAGTACATAAGCCAACTTTTATAAATCAGTGGCAAGACAGACAGGTCCAACATCTGCTGAAAGCAATACAAGACCTGTGTGTTGACAGATGTGTTCTTGAGCGGGCCAAAGAGCACTGTGGGAGACAGAGGGAGTGTGTAACAGCCTTTTTAAATGATCTACTTAATCACATCACACTTGCAGATCTTCCTATTCTCTACACATTAGGGTTCTAAGGTCAGATTACATTTGCATTCATGCATTTGGCAGACACTTTTATCCAAATTGACTTACAAGGTGCATATTTATAGAGCATGTGTGTTCACTAGGAACTACAGGAACATCACATGAAAAGGAAAAGACTATTCCAAAATGATACTAAAGGAAGCTAGAGTCTCAAGACTTTAACCGACTTAAAGAGGGTCAACATGCACAATGATTCATCAAAAACACCACACTGCTTTTCTGCAACCATTAAATGGTGTACTGCTAAGTTAAAAAAAAAAAAAACGTATTGCTGAGAAAAGGCATGCAACATATTAGGTTTTCTATTTTCTCCCAAAGAAGTTATGAATAATTTACAGCCACTGTTACACATGCATGGTTGGACTCTTCTACTTGTTCACTTAGGCAGGAAAAAAAGCTCTCAAGTGCCCAAAATACAATCCTCAAGCATGAGGAACTCAGTTCTCAGTAATAAAAAAAATGCTGATGTAAAAGTATGCAATATTTAAATACACAATACTGTTCAGAAGTTTGGGATAGGTTTTTTTGTTTAATGCCTTTCAAAGAAGTCTCTTATGCTCACCAAGACTGCATTTATTTAATCAAAATTACAGGAAAAACTGTAATATTGTGAATTATTATTACAGTCAAATAACTGCTTTAGTTTATATTAAAAAATTTTTTTTAAATGTAATTATTTTTTTTTATGATGCCAAAGCTGAATTTTTAGCATGATTACTCCAATCTTCAGTGTCATATGACCCTTCAGAAATCATTCTAACATGCTTATCTACTGCTCAAGAAATGAAATCTTACCGACCCAAAACATGTTGCATTCTTCAATGTTAAAGACTTAAAGGTTCTTTTGGAGATCTTTCTAATCAATTTTACTTGGGAACGATATTTAGACATTACATATACATTGTACTTATGAAACACAACACACCTCACCTTAAAAAAGTTAGAAAAGTTGCCAGAAAGTTACCAAACAATCATCTAATTATCTAACATCTAAATATGGTGTAGAGTCAAGCAGTTTCACGACCAATCTTTCTCAGTTCTGTCCATTACTTTTGTACTTTAATGGGTTCAACCTTTGCAGAAGTAGCATTTTACTTTAAATGATTTAAAAATATATATTTTACACCAAAGATAAGCTTTAAATGAACATACTCAATTAGGGTTGTTGATTTAGATCCATCCAGGTGTTATATGAATAATCTTGTTGATAATTCATATTTATTTTTTAGAAAGCAATGGAGAGTATCCAACTAAAATTTTTCAGTTTCCCAAGCAGCTGTTCTGAGATGCTTGTGGCAAAATCTATCTATATATATATATTTCTACTTCATAAAACAAACCGGAAATGGTACACAGAACAGTGAAGAGATATTTAATTTGGATCCATCTACAAAAGGTCATAAATACTGTCTGGTGATTAAAAATTCAATGTCCAGATGATTAAAATTCAGCCGAAGAGAGTTTAGGCCTTTGCTTTTTTGAGTATTGATGTAAAACAGAGAAACCTTTTCAGAAAAGCATAATATCAAACTATAACACCAAACATCATCATGCACCTGCTCTATCAGCCATGGGCACCTGTCTTATGATGAAACACATCTGGCAAATTCATCCTGGCACAGAATCAACAAAATCTATCTCTGTCTCTTCTCCATTCCTGCCCTTTTCACAGTTATTAACTGGAAGCCTGCTGATGCAGCCAGAATCCAAGTGCAATGCCAATGGGTGGCTGTGAGAGACAGAAAACCTGTGTATTAGTATAAAAGTTGGTGAGAGGAAGCTATAAAGGACAGACGGATGCCTTCACCGTACCAAGCAGGGTTGTATGAGAAAAAAACAGTCATAGAATAAAGTTGAAACCAATCATCCTTACTTTTTATGAACCTCACATCCTGATAAATATAATCAACCAATAATAACAGCACAACACTGTAACAATGACTCTTCAGCATCAAGAATACCAACTGAGAAAAAAAAAAAAAACTTAATGACTAGCATATGATATCTGTATTAAAATGAGACCAACCTGCATTATTTGGCTTGAAAGAGAAACCACTTACAGATGTTAAGAAATCAACATCCAGGCCTTCTTTATACTCCACTGTTGACCGCAACCTTTCAGCACCAAAATGGCCGACCAACAATCCATCTTCTTCTTGTAAAGCATTAAATTCCCTAATTCTGGAATATCCCCTGAAAACAAAAACAGTCATGCCCTCACTTATCTAAACACACTGTGATAAACCGATTTAAAAGCAAAACATTTTGGATTATGCTCTTGGTTTTCTGGAGTCACACCTCAAAGAATGAAGACTGTTGATGGGGACACTTGGAAAGTCAGCTTACTTCCTCCTCCTAGACGAAAACATCCATTTCCATCTTAGGAACGCAATGTCTTGGTTCTGGCTCAAAGTTTTAAAAGTTTAGTCCAATCATGGAGGCGCAAACTTTTCTTTAGCACATGCCGTTTGTAGTTCCAGACATTCTCTCCAATAGTGAAGCCATTAGAACATAAATCAGATGCATCTTCATTTGCGGTTAAGATAACAAAGACCCCTGAAGACACATGGTCATCTCTTGGCGCAAACAACTTCAAAAGTCCAGTCCAAAAAAATGAGGAACAATTTCGTCACCTTTGCACTAGCTTCTTGCAAAGTAGAAGGTAGTTTTCTTCCTTATTTTTGTTTTTTAGCACTAAAGCTGAGCTCCTGCACTCTGGGTATTTTTGATTTCCTTTGCGCAAAAGCTGAGCAAACAGACAAAGGGAGCTGCGATAAAACCCTGCCAAGTCTCGCCTGGGTTTTTTCTCTTCCATTCCTCTCCCTCTCCGTGCTCCCGCACTCCCAGCGTGGCAACTTTCCCGAGAAACCCTGGCGGAGCTCCAGCCTGTGTCTGCTCGTCTGGGCCGCCCTCCTCCCCCCGAAAAAGCGCCAATTTAGGCAAATTGATCAAAACGAATCTCAAATTAATTTCTCTTCTCTGCCATTCCCTGCCACCAGCATCCAGATAGGGTCCCCTCCCCTCCTCCCTCGCCAGATGCACAGACGTGAGGACATTGGAATGTCTGTCATCCCAATCTCCCCAGAGTCCCCGCACTTCCAACGTTCCTCCTTTGACTGCCCATCCGCTTCGTCCGTTGTTAGCCACTGGCACTCGAGAGTTGCTCCGTGTTTCACCTACTCACTTTCAGATGCATCTTAGCAGGGAAAAGTCCTGCCGCCGTTCCTCTTGTCAGCGTGTGCCAGAACAGCACCTTCTGTGCTTCTACTGCCATTTTTGGGGACATGGCAGCGATTCTGTGCCAAAGCGGGACGGCCCTAAGGACACCCTCCCTATACATGGAAACCAAACCATGTATTCAAATGCACTATCACAAAACTGTTGTGATATTTAGCATGGCAAATGAACAACTAAAGGCTGGGAAAACAGGTCTATATTGCACTGATAATCTATATTTCCTATTAGATATAATTTTAATATACCAAATACTCTTTGCTGCTTTGGTTAGAATTAATGTTTAAGCAAAGACCACATGTATGATGTTTAATAGCACAACATCCTCCTTATTAAAGAATATGAAGAATTTTTTCCGTACCATTTAATCGACTATCAAACCACTATTCAAATTTCACAATTACTTTTCTTTGCATCTTTTCCTGGGAACAATCCAATATGCTTTTAAACTGACTCCAAGGTCAAGCATTCCACCGGATGAAAAACTTGGACGTTTTTATTTTTTTGGTGTTAATAAAACCGTCTAAAATCCAAAGCACTTGAAATACATATGAAATATTCAAGTATAGTCACAAATGTCTGTTATATTTTTGCCTATCAGAAGTTAAATTGTGTGTAATTATGGGTGACACTTAAAGGTACAATATGCAAGATTGTTTCGCCACCAGGGGTCGCTAACCTCTTCCAATAACAAAGGCGTATATTAATGACGTATATTCCGCATTAAACGAAATTATGGATCTTGTAGTCAAGCTGATGGATCCTTTATGGATGAGTGAATACATTGATGTTTTTAACATGACTGTAGTATGAAGCAGGCCACGATTGCTAGACGTATACCAGCGCCACACGCAACGCGAGTCCCACGGATATAAAGGAATAAGGAAATTTAATTCTACCGAACTACATGCTGAATTACTCACACAGGTCAGTTTATTAGAGGAATTAAACTTGAAGTAACGCAGCGCTACATCACTTGCTCTAACAGTTTCACTATCACACTAAACTGCATTTGAGTGTGTTTGATGTTAGTTAGGTTGTTTGTTGGCTGTATGATACTAAGCTACATTAACATTAGAGAATAACATACAGATTGTATTCTAACTTTTCATCGTTAAACTTTATAACATTGATTAGTTTTATATACATTAATTTTCTCAAGTAACATGCAACACTCGTGTCTCTGTCAAGTCGAAGTTAGTCGCGGATGTGGAGCTCTCGGCATCTTGAAAGATGTTAATCTTCGTTCTAGTCCTCTTTTTGTCTCACAGTCTGCTTGCCGTCCATAATGTTTGAACCAAACCCTGCTAGGGAGTTGAGCACGCATTACGGCATAACCGACCCAGTTTCCGCCACCTGTCGCCATGGTTACTATTGCTACGAGGTCAAACCTGGCGGAAACAGGGGGTAACGCGGATATGACGTCATTGACTGGCGGCTCCTCACCCCTGCTCACACGCCCCGTTTCCTTGGTTAAAAAAAAAATAAATAAATAAAAATATCGCAATTTTCTCACGATTTACAAATAGTTGGAAACATTTGGGATATTGTAAAATATAAAATATATAACATTGGCCTAGTGTTTTTTGGGATATTTTACTGCAAAAAGGAAAAGTTCATCCAAAAATTTTACATTCTGTCAACATTTGCGCACCCTCATGAATAAACAAATCACTGTTTTAAAGTAAATATTAAAAAGCCATGTCAAGGGAGGGGATTTGTATGTTAATAAAAATTAGAATAAAATAAAAAAGTACAATCCAAAAAGAAGTTCACACCAACTACATAACATGAAAGAACTGAAGCAGTTCCCTCAGCACATGAGCCAAGCGCCCACAAACTTTTTTTTTTTTTTGTACGAGCTGCTCGTGTTCAAAGAGACATCGCACTGCCCTAAGCTCTGATCTCATTCTTCCATCTGTTCTGTGGTCTGTAACCTTCAACCAGGTTCATTACATCTTCAAAGCGAGACACGCGTGTGTCAGTGTTGCAGAGTGTTACCTGGCAACCTTCCAGCTCCGCGGTGGAGTCCCGTTGCCAAGGGGAAGCCTTGAGAGGCGAGCGCTGATGATCAGTTCACTGCAGTCTGAAGGGGTGGATCCCTGCACGGGCACGCTTCATGCCATTGCACAGAACGCCAATGTGAGTCGCATGTCAAGCAGCCTGCGGATGCTCCTGAGAGCGATGCATTACAGACACTATATATTATACGTATTAACTTCAAGGCCGATTTGCAAAAATAACCTATTATCAGCTACTCTTAAGATTCCCTTCCAACCTAAGTCCACCACAGCTGTCCAATTTAAATGAATGCAAATGCAATATCTGCAAAAATGGGAAGGAAATGTCCACTTGGACGTGCTGCTGGGAAGACGGCCCCAGGGCTGGAAGCCAGAAAATTGCTAGTTCGACCTCCAAAAGAAACATGCCTTGTTGTATCACTATTGTGCCCTTGAGCAAGACAAGTGATCTGCTCCAAAAGGGATGGTTTTCACAAAAATGAAAAGTCTGGTCTTGTTACTCCTACCCATATGCTGTTATTTTTTCAGTGGAACACACAGTGGATACATGCTACATTTTAAATTTAAAAAAAAGATGCTATATAGTTAAGGAAATTAGAGAGGGTGTGTATTTTTTTGTTGTTGTTGTATAAACTAACCTTTTGAACTCTCCCTTAAATAACTGCACCCACGTTATTAATTTCACTTTGGATAAAAGTGTGCTAAATAAATAATTAGTTACTATTCAAACTAAATACTTTCTTTTCCGATTAAATCATGTCACTTAAACTGTGTGATTTAGGATTCGTAGGAAGCCTCCTGTTCCCTTCAGAGCTCTTCACTCTACTTGAAGCAGCATTTCCATTTTTATGTAAGAGTCTGAGTCAGCTGTTCTGTTCCATTGCAAGTGAGCTTTTTATTGCCCTTTACTACCCTGTACTCTTGCCTCTGAGGAAAAAGATAATGAATATTTAATGCCAAGAGTGTTGGAGATATTACTCGATAAAAAAAAGACTTACTCTGAAAACATTTCCCTCCACCTAAATGGTACTCTAAAGTGAAAAATTGATAAAAAAAAAAATGAAAAAGAGAAAAGGGGCTAAGTAAGATGTGCTGATACTTTTATAGGGAGTCACAAAACGTATATGAATTGACTATTGAATACGGAAATGGGAGTAAATAAAGTCTGCAAATATCCGATGTCAAGAATTAACCAAGTGACTGTTCGATGTTAGTGCCGCACTGCGCATGCGCGTCACACAGATCCAGGAAAAACAAAACAAAGCCCCCGTTTTCTCGATCGCAGAAGACCCATCATAGATTTCTTTTTTGCACACGTAAGCTTATGCTGCAATTCCGTAACATATAACATTGAATGTATCCCATCGCGAATTAAAACCTTACAACGCTGCCTTTGTTTGAACGCTGATAGCCGCGTTAGCTCGTGAACTGAGAAAGTCAGAGAAATTCACAACGCCATACCTGACACTTTCATGCTCTGCTCCCTTCCAGGCAGCGCTTCCTCCGGAGTTGGCATTCGCACTTTGGAGGACATATCTCCCATTCTACTTTGGATAAAGTGCCTCCAAACCAAACGCACGGAAGTCCGCGCGACCATGAGCACAAACAAGCCGCACGCGATGCACTTGTTGTGTAACGATTGCACAAGGGCGTGCTCGTTACTTAACTCTAGTAAAGTAAAATAAGTATGCTTATTAATCCAATGCTAAAACGACTGGTGTGTTGGAGGATATCGCTTAGTGATCAAAAACAGCTTATGAGCTTGGAAAAGATGTGTTCTTTTTAATAAAAAGTGATATATTGATGGCTCCGTGGTGACAATTATGTTTAATACTACAAATATAAAGTCTATTAATTTTATGTGAGCTTAAAAAATGCTAGTTTTAAATAAGTCACACCCATAGACTTAAAACAATAGTCACATGCACCAACTTCATAACCTACTATTTTGTGTAGCCTACCCATTTTGTATTTAATAATCAAAATGCTAATAATTATGTAATTTCTTTGTGCTGATCATTAGGCCTATGTGCTTGTGTCAGTTACTAAAAGTTTGTGATTTTTATGTGTAATAATGTCAAATTCAAATTGAAAGTCAGTTCTCATCATAGGGTTCTCTCATCAGTTAAATGTCGGAGCAGGTAGTGTTGCACACGAGTGGTGCGCATGCGCGACCAAAAATAAAAAATGCGCTGGGTAAATAAGTTCAGACCGCTCATTTTCACACCGACATGGTTGACAGCTGTTAATACACAAACACCGTTTTAGACACTTTAATACTGTACAAGATTTCCATTTCCTGAATGCATAAATCTGCCAGTTTCAGAGCAAAACGCAAAGCTTCGGCAGTGCTAAAAACCAAAACCATGCAATGCCAGTAACGTTACTAAAGTACTTACTTCCTGGCAACCCGCCAAAATAAAAGTTGGCTGGCTGATTTTAGACTTGAAAATGTCATAAATTCATTAAAAGTGAAAATATAAATATTAGTTTTGTATTTTTTTAAATGTACTATAAAATAACATGTTTAAAATAAAAATATTTTTATTTAATACTAATTTAAAAAGCATACATAATAGTATTATCACACTTTATTTTGTCTAACTAAATCAGAATCATTTATTTTTCATTGTAAAACATTGTCACGAAATTTAAAATGCTATTCCTGGTGCGTAGAATACATATACACTCTCAAAATGACAGTACTGAAAGTGCAAATGCAGTGCAAAACAGGCAAGATAATCCTTCATCATGCGGCCCTATTTCTGTAATTGAGTGTTTAGAGTTGTGATGGCTGTGGGGAAAAAGCTGTCCCTGAATCTGGATGTGTGGGTTTTAAATAAAATACAGTAATACTATTATTAATTATTTTATTTTTGTGTGGATGTGTGGGTTTTAAATAAAATACAGTAATACTATTGTTAATTATTTTATGTGCAGTGTGAGCACCAAACCAAATCTCTCATATAAGAACCAAACTGGAAAAACGTATGTGCACCCCCACCTATTAGGCAAGTGTTTTTTTGTAGAAATTTAGTTACATTTCTTTTACATGATCATTTTATGTCAATTTACGATGTATTAATAGACTTAAAGAAAGGTGATTACATTTCAAATAATATGCAACTAGCCTATAGCAAAATAATCTAATATCATAAGACCAAAACAGAACATTGAGTAGACATTTCTTTGTTTGAGATATTCCCGGGCCCTTGTCTGTCTGCGAGCACTCAGAGACAGTGTCTTTATCCATGTGTCGTCAGCATAAGGGTGGATTGAAAAGCTTTACCATCTGGAGTTCACTGTGTGTCGAATGTGTTTGTTGGAGACACGCGTGCGGCAGACGACAGTCCTCAAAACTGCAACACAAGAGAGGATCAGGAGACCTCTGCTGACCTCAAAGCAAGAGCAGGGGTGGATACTAACCCTCACAATACATGGAGGTGGAATTCTGCAAAGATAGATAGATGGATACTGTAGATAGATGGATAGATAGATAGATAGATAGATAGATAGATAGATAGATAGCGTGTAGATAGATAGATAGATAGATAGATAGATAGATAGATAGATAGATAGATAGATAGATAGATAGATAGATAGATAGATAGATAGATAGATAGATAGATAGATAGATAGATAGATAGATAGATAGATAGATAGATAGATAGATAGATAGCGTGTAGATAGATAGATAGATAGATAGATAGATGATAGATAGATAGATAGATAGATAGATAGATAGATAGATAGATAGATAGATAGATAGATAGATAGATAGATAGATAGATAGATAGATAGATAGATAGATAGATAGATAGATAGATAGATAGATAGAGCACTACTCATATAGTGAAATACAGGCCTGCATAATAGACAAGACGTTGTTGTACACATTGTTGTAGTTGACTGGTTTACATCACTAACCAAATGAGAACTATCAGTGTTTTGGAGTCGTTGTAAACGTTTTCGTGTACCAATAAAACGAGGAAAGGATGAAGATAAATCAGTGTTCGACAATAAATCAATGCGGCTTGAGGGATGAGCGTGTATGGGGGATGGGACTCAACGCGCAGATGACAGGCCATATGGAGTCGGCCTTCATTTTTGGACACACTTTGATGAACTAATACTTTCAAAGGGTGTATCGCGGTGTTAACAAAATATTTATTTCACGTGAAATCGTTTACATCGAAGTATTAACAGTCAATGGTATTATGGCGCACGGTGACCTTATTTCTTTAAGATACTTATTGGTTTATTTGCCAATACGCACTGTATTTAGCATTGTGTTAAGACTAGAATAGGCTACATACAAAAAAAAATCTAATCAAACTTAAAAATAAAAAACGTGTTTTTGTTGTCATTCATATTATAAACCAGTAAATGGTGCACTCAACGCCACTTGTGTGCATTTTAAAAAAAAAGTGAATAAAAAGGAAAAATTGTTTAGAATACACGACGATTAAATAAAACCGTGGCATCGTGAAAAGTGCAGAAACTATTTTCCAAACGGTTAACGTTTAGTAAGCCGACAGATGCCACCTCTTTCCACCAGAGTATAATCCTCTCTGAAGGGAAGGGAACAGAGGAGCAGGACGGAGAGCTTCAGTGTGTGTGATAAACTGGGCTGCTCTCCTCCTCTCTGTCAGATCGCGCTCTGCATCACACCATTTCACATGATGACCGACTCTACTTACGAGCACCGAAGCCTTCTGCTCTGGCTATTTGCTTCTAACATGCATTTTTCTGCTTTGCTTTTTTCGTTTATCATGAAGAAATTCGAGTGATGCAACACTGCAATCGGGAATGATTTATGTCGCATCCTACAGCACCAAGGTGCGCAAAAGCGTGCGGAACATTTGATGATTTTTTTTTTTTGAACGACGCTCCTCTGCACCGTGGACATTTCCCCAAACTGGATATATGGACAATTATTATCTCGAGGGATAAAAACCTGTTATTTATGTCCTGCTTCGCAAGGTGTATTTGTGTAAGTTTTGATGAAATCGATGTGCGATGTTGTTATATATATTTTTTAAACATTGTTAATGTCCATCAACTGCGTCTGTTTTACTAAAGCATGTTTCTTTTTTCCTTCTTATAGCTCATGTGATGGCATAATGTAAATGCATTGAGGGTGCCGCTGTATCGATATATGTCAGGCTATATTAATTGGTTCTTTGATTTTCAGACTGAATGGATCGCCTAATTAAAATCCAATTTGCGGGGAATTTTCCTCTCGGTGTATATGGTGCAAGGTCGGCTTTTGACAATTGGTCCCCTCCACTTTTCCACCCAATATTTAGTTTACCCCCTCCTGATGCAGGTGCTTTCAACTGCCCCCACCTTCTAACATATACCCCGCCCGACCCCCCACACGAGGCGGCGGTGTCTCTAGTCCCACAGATTCCCCCTTCTTTCTTACCTCTGCTGCATTTTGCATGAGCTATCTAGGTCATTAGCATTTTAGCGTATGCAAGACTTGACAAAGCTGGTGAGGAGCCAGATGGGCCCTCTACTATTTTTTACATCTCATGGGAGTTGAGCAAGGGACCAACTGCATGCAGCACGCCACTCAGCGCCTTCTTTTTATTGCCATCACTCGGGCCTTGTGTTGCACCAACACATGATGGGGAGATGCGCACCGTCCTGTGGAGATAACACACTCGTGCCATTCGAAAAAGAAAAAAAATGGGTAATGTAATACCTGGGAACGCTTGTTTGAATTATTATGTGTGTGTTGATGCACAGATACTTTAATGCATGCTGCTCTGTGCAATGTTGGATGCGGATGCTGATGCTACACCAGTCGGAGGAGGACGTAGACATTTTGGTGCAACATCATTGCTGCATGGGATATCTGTAGCTAGTTGTGCGATTCTCAACATTGTGGTTGAAAACAGGCCTGCTTTTCTTCGTGTTCACAGCGGACCTTGATTTAAATGTCCATACAATTAAGGCACGCGGTGAATGCCAAGAGAGACGGCAAATATCATCGATGAATGATTTTAAAAACTGCACGACGCAGATAGTCCGTGCTTGCCATGCATGACAGGTTTTTTTTTTTTTTTTTTTTTTTTTTGCGAGAGAGAGAGAGAGAGAGCTTGTGTGGAGGCGAACCGACGCATCAATGCGGCCAAAGAGAGCTTTAATATTTCATTGCGTTCTTCCATAATTTTGTGCTGCGCAAAAGTGCGTATCCTCGAATATTATTAAGTGTCATTATGGGCTAGTTCAAAATTAAGGAGTTCAAAACACTGACAATTAACCTTGAGGTCTGATGAAACGTTCTTTTGTTATTTGTCTATTTAGAGGACGCTTTTATAATCTAGAAACGCCACATAGTGTCTCATTTCAGACATGCATATGGGACACTATGTCTTCGGGAGAGGATGAAGAATAATATGGTTAGACAAGTTGTGAGGCCTAAAATGACAACCAATTTAAACAGAACACACCACAAACCGTTCCGGATTTCTTGAATTTCTGACAGCGGGTCCTGTATGTGTCCTCATTCTAAAGGCACAGAAAATACGCATGTACGTTTGTATTGCATCATTGATACTGTAAATCATTTTAGTTTGTCAATAAAATCTCATATTCACAAAGCAGACATTA